CAATAGGATTTTGAGCAAAGTCTTTACCATTAAATTATGCAAAAGGTGTCAGACGCAAAACATTTCAGAAACCGTATCAGATATGATACATTTGGCATTACAGGGTTGAACTTGTTTGGACATATTGTACCTATTGTTTACTTTATTGTTTTTTCATTGACTGCCAGAGTTTTTTGAGCATTTTGACTGATTTTTCCAGAGCCACAGAATAGTTTGTGCTATGACTATGTAAACACCGAACACACCAAAAGAAAGAGTAGACTCTCTTCTTTCATCAGGAAAAAAAATGTGTTTCTACCTTATTCCGTTCTTCCTGGACTTGCGTCTCACCGGCGACATGTTCTCTCATAGAACCGTTCCCTTTTTCTTATTTGCCTACAGTCTATGCTCATCTCCCATCAAAAGTGGCACTGCCCCCTAGAGGCTCAGTTTGTTACTACATACTCTGTCTAGAAGCCCATATTTACGGACAAGCTTTAGCAGATCGTCCCCAAGCCACTCTCGTTAAAAACATAAAAGACCTCTATAGACGTCTTTGGCAGCCAATGAGTTAATTCATCACCACATTTCTGTTCCAGCGTTCGAGTTGGAACCCTAACCCTAACCCTGACCATAACCCTAACCCTGACTCTAAAACCAACCCAAACCCTGACCCTAACTATAACCCTAAGCCTGACCCTAACCCTAACCCTTCATAATTGTGAGAAATAAATATTTTTTTATTAAACTTGTGTGGACTTATTGTACAATTATTGTACTTATTGAATTTTTTAATTTACCACCACATTTCTGTTCCAGCGTTCAAGTTCGAGTCGGTCACCTTTTATGAACTCTTTTAAAGATAAAGGAAAGTCTGACTGCCTGGAGGTAAAATAAAAGGGGGGGTACAAAGCATGAATAATAAAAGGTGATTAGGTCATGTGACTAGCAGCTTTCTCAAGTGGAAACGAAACTGTCTATACGAAATCTAAAGACAAACGATATCCTGACCCTGACCCTATCCCTAACCCTAACTCTGACCCTATCCCTAACCCTGATCATGACCCTAACCCTAACCCTTACCCTGACCCTAACCCTAACCCTGACCCTGACCCTAACCTAATTCAATGAATGAATGAATGAATGTTTGGACTTATTGTACAATTATTGTACTTACTGAATTTTTTAATTCACCACCACATCTCTGTTCCAGCGTTCGAGTTCGAGT